CAAAGACATGTAGGGATAGGCATGGGAAAACCCCCCTGAGCATCGCAATGGGCCTTTGTGGCCTAAGAGTGAACTCTTCTAAGAGCCGCCGACTTAACATAACCTAACCTATAGCAATATTTTAAAAACGGGTATTTACCCACACGACTGGAAGGAAGCTATACTTATGCTCATACCAAAGTTAGCTAAGAACAAGTAAGAGCAGCGCTGTCTTCGGCTATGCCGAAGGCTTCATACCTTTCATGAACATCTGAAAACTTTACTTTAACAGATTACTGCATTTGAAAAAATTTATATATTCACAGCACACATAGATAGAGGAGTTACATATATAAAAAATCGTATCTAATCAATTAGAGGTATGGAAGATATACCTTATATAGCACCAATCAAAGTGACTTTCACTGCTGTGTGATCGGTATGTAAACCGGTAACACAATTTAATGGGTTTAGCTTCCTACATAAAGGAGATATATCACAAAAACTAGTACAGGAAGATAAGGTATACGAGATAAGGCTTATGCAGCATAGATTTTGACAATTTTCTCAGTAGACTTTGTATTATTATTTATACAATAGCTTACGAAATTTATCGGTTTTAGCTGTCCAAATAAATTAGTTTTACATTAAAACTCAATATCTGAGCCATCAGTTATATGGAGGCAATAATAAGTTACAGTGACACGATCTTTATTAATTTTACTGTAAACTATCTGTTGATAAAGTGAAAATAGTGCGAAATATCATGTTTCTAGCTGCATATATTTATAAGTTATAACATAGAATCTCATATCTGAACAATCAGTTGTATGGGAGCCATGAGCGTAGCCAGGTAGGGGCAGGGGGGGTGCTCGAGCCCCCCCCCTAACTTTCAAATTTTCCTTATATATATATATAAAATAGTACCCTGAAATGCCAGCTTAATAGGGTCGAGCCCTCCCCTCCCCCTCCTAAATTTCATTCTGGCTACGCTGATGAAGGGAGCTATATGTAAAAGTAACCCGATTTTTGTTATTTTTACTGTAAGAATTCTGTTGAATATCGTTGGAAGTACTGCAAAATTTCATGTTCCTAGCTGCATAAATCGAGGAGTCATAACGAAAATTCTCATAACTGGAATTATTAAAGGAAACATTTTTAATGTAAAACACAAATATAAGTGAGAATCTGTGTCCTAAATTAAAAAAAGTGACTTTTTATCATTTGTTTGCAAAACAAACTGTCTTATTTGCATAACCTCAAAATTTTTCTGGTTTATTTCCATTTATGATTTAATGTAAGCTTTACAATTTTGTTAACTTTCGGCAAACAAAATGGAAATGGATAAACTGGGATGTAATGAGTTGATCTTATTTTACTTAAGCCGGCGTTTTTAGCCGTTTTCAAGAAAAACAGTTTTTTCTGGGCTATCATGCTATTACAAAAGGCGAGATGTTTGTAGTTTGGCTGATTGGATGTTCAAACAAAGAAAGGCTTTCTTCGGTTATCAACCATGTTGAAAAACAAATTTGGTGCTGATGATATTTGCGAAAGTTTCATGAAACTCTTAGAAAAAAACGCGTATTTTTTGCCATTATTTATAAAACAAAGAAGAAAATTATGGAGTTATTATCCCGTTTCTTACTGATGAAGTTGTTTTAGAAATCAAAGCCAACTGTGTCGACCAGCAGCCGCATTCTAACTTTCGCTATGGCTTAAATATGCTAAAATGCGAAAGCTAACATTTTACCCGAATTTTTGGCTATCCCCAAAATTTGCGGTTCTGTCCTTCCTTTCGTTGAAAATAACTTAGCCTAAATTTTAGTATTATACCCGGCCGCAAGTAACGCTGTACAACAACAGCAGCTGTCAAAATTTGGTTACATCTTAATGGTGGTAAATAGTCCATTTTAATGGTGATAAATAGTGAAAATGGAAGATGGAAGTATGTGATAGCAAAACAAATACCAGCCTCAATTTGGATTGCATTTCATCTCCTGTAGCATAGCTATTTTTCAAAGACACTCCCGCCGATTCGCAAAGACTATTGATAAGCAGCCTTCGCAAAAAGGCAAATCCTCGAGCGAATCGAGCGGTTTTTAGTAAATGTGTTATAATGCAGCATTTGCATTCTGAATATAAATAATATAGGTGGACAATTTGGGAAAAATCTTAAGTGAAAATGAAGGGTTTCATGAAGACTAANCGAGCGAATCGAGCGGTTTTTAGTAAATGTGTTATAATGCAGCATTTGCATTCTGAATATAAATAATATAGGTGGACAATTTGGGAAAAATCTTAAGTGAAAATGAAGGGTTTCATGAAGACTAACTGCTTTAGGAATCTCTCCTCAAGGCATATCTGCGAGACATGTAGTATATATTTTTTTGTTTATTAAGGGACTTCGATAATATTTTTTTTTTAATCCCTAGAAGAAACCCATTATGTACATATGACCATACTTGTTTTATTTATGTAGCTCAACCCCCTTCGGGTTGAGTATGGTAAGAAAATAGTTTGTTTGAAAACCAAGCTATTTGGACAATGTCTTCGAGAACTACCTAAACACATATACTCATCATTTGAACTTAAAAAAGTCTGTTTTACGAAAGCCAAGTCATGTTTTTACATGTTATTTACTGCCTGTACACTTTTCTTAACTGTTTCCATCCGTTTACATTAAAATAAAGCTATATAAGTACATTAAAATAAAGCTATATAAGTAATCATTTGACCTAATGTGATATGGCACAAAACTAAAACCATATTACACATTTACAGTGCAAGCCGTTTTATTTGACACCTATACCATGTTCTGTTCGACAACGAAAACACTTTGAAAACGTGTTTTGGGATTGTGGGCTGAAGGCTGTTCACACCGGCTGTTAGTGTTTTCATTGACATTTCTTACATCCTCATTTCTTATAGTCAATTAACAATATATCCGAAATGGCGTATTAAAGATGATAAAATATGACTTCCACTTCGACAAATAATCGAAAAAAACTAGTGAAGTCACCGATTGGAATGAGTGGAACGTGAGTTTTCAAGTAGTTTTCAGCGAAAACTGGTTTTCGTTTGACAGATTTTACATGGACGAAAACACAAGTTTTAAGTCGAAAACCAGTTTTAGCAACGAAAACATGTTTTCGATGTCGGTCAGAACATGGTAATATCCTCCTTTTTGAAAATCGAACGAACGATACAGATTTTATGACTTGGTGTAACATATTTAACGTAAACATCTGCGGAAGCGATTATTTGAATTTAACACTTCATTTTTTTTAAATTGAACGAACGATACAGATTTTATGACTTGGTGTTAAATATTTAACGCAAACATCTCCGAACTCGACTCAGAAGTTGAAATAAAAATTTTTTTTCGAAAATTCGAAAAAAATCGAATTTGCACCACCAAATTTTGAATCGAATAATCGAATGGTTGGGCAATGTTCGAAATTCGGAAAAAATCGAATTTCAACCCCCCACTACCCATCCCTAGTACCACGACTGTCTTTCGTCAACTCTTTAATGGTCTTCGTTCGCTATTAGCGGGTTTATATCTTAGTGCGAGAGTGAGACATAATCAACAAGNAACATATTTAACGTAAACATCTGCGGAAGCGATTATTTGAATTTAACACTTCATTTTTTTTAAATTGAACGAACGATACAGATTTTATGACTTGGTGTAACATATTTAACGTAAACATCTGCGGAAGCGATTATTTGAATTTAACACTTCATTTTTTTTAAATTGAACGAACGATACAGATTTTATGACTTGGTGTAACATATTTAACGTAAACATCTGCGGAAGCGATTATTTGAATTTAACACTTCATTTTTTTTAAATTGAACGAACGATACAGATTTTATGACTTGGTGTAACATATTTAACGTAAACATCTGCGGAAGCGATTATTTGAATTTAACACTTCATTTTTTTTAAATTGAACGAACGATACAGATTTTATGACTTGGTGTTAAATATTTAACGCAAACATCTCCGAACTCGATTCAGAAGTTGAAATAAAAATTTTTTTTCGAAAATTCGAAAAAAATCGAATTAAATCGAATTTGCACCACCAAATTTTGAATCGAATAATCGAATGGTTGGGCAATGTTCGAAATTCGGAAAAAATCGAATTTCAACCCCCCACTACCCATCCCTAGTACCACGACTGTCTTTCGTCAACTCTTTAATGGTCTTCGTTCGCTATTAGCGGGTTTATATCTTAGTGCGAGAGTGAGACATAATCAACAAGCTATTATAAATAGTTTTGTAACTTAAAGCTAGAGTGTGACGAAATANCGACTGTCTTTCGGCAACTCTTTAATGGTCTTCGTTCGCTATTAGCGGGTTTATATCTTAGTGCGAGAGTGAGACATAATCAACAAGCTATTATAAATAGTTTTGTAACTTAAAGCTAGAGTGTGACGAAATAAATACAACTTAATCTAGGGGTTATTTACAGTAACTAGTGATGGCCGACTTATGTTTGTACATATATGTATAATATCGATACTGCTACACATTGTACAAAAATTAAAGAAAAGATCTGGAAGTTTCACCTAAATTGCAAACTTTTTATTTAGACTCTAAAAAAAAATTATTTTAGTATAATAAAGTGCGAGACTGAAGTTGCTAAAAATTGGGTTGAGTTTTGGAAATGTTTTCCTTGACAGTGTAAAGCAGTTTTTTCCGTATCAAGATATCTTTCGAACATATTTTAAGAGATTTCTGCAAACTTCTTTTTATCACATCGCGATGTAGCGAACAAATGTGGCAGGTTGCAGAAACCGCTACTTGGGATTTACCGATTTTGACAATTCTCAAGTAAAAATAAACAACGCCTCAGAAACTTTAGATGCACTTAAATTTGCTAACACTTTCACAAAAATTGCCGTTTTTTAACATTTTTGCTATTAATTCTTTTTGTAAATCATACATTTTGCATTTTAAAAATTGATTATTGAGAAAATTCACTATTTTACAGTTTATTTTATCCTCCCATTCGGCTTTGTTTACTTTTACTTGAGCAATTTCATCGCCGTCGGGAATACGGAATCTTGTACTATATCATTATATCGAGCAAAAATGAAACTTCTTCAAAACGCGAATATGTGGTAGATTTCAGACCTTGGCTGGTAGATGTGGTAGGTACTCAAAAAAGTGGCAGATCTACCACAATGTGTAGAAGTCCGATCACTGTATGGGGTCATAATTTTTATTCATTTTACAAAATTAAAATACTTTGCAGAAAAACAGATGGTGTCAACACGGGCCTGTTCGAGACACGTAATAAAAGCGGCATTACTGATTACGTGTTTCGTAATTCCCACCGAGCGTGTTACTTTAATAATTCTCGCAACACTGCGGTTGTGATTGCATCTCGAACAAGCCTCACCTTTATTTCGGGATATAAATGTACCTGTTCGCAGTTGTATCGTCATCGAAAAATCCCTGATAGAGCACAAATTTATTTGCCTGTGGTATAATGATTTCCAGACCATAGTGTTTCTTTAAAAATTGTAACAATTTTTCAGATGGTCTATCAACGGAGCATTTAACTGGAATCCAATTTTCCTCAGCCAGCATAATGTCGAATAATTTCTTTCCAAGTCCTGTGCGCTGTCGGGATTCGTGGACGTAAAAATCAAGTATACAAGGAGAATTGTCGACTTTCTTTGTCTGAGCCAGACTATCAAACAGATATAAATTTTTGGTGCCAACTTTTAAAAGTCCTACTACAACGTCTCTGTAAACATAGGAATATAGTAATAAAAATTAAAACGATGGAATTGTATTGTTAGTACATAAAACATACTTACATACATACTTAATACATACATACATACTTAATAATTTTAAATCTTTAAATGTTATTTTTAGTTTATTTTCAGGCTTTTATATCATTTTATATTCAACTAGGGCTGTGCGAATATTCGATTATTCAACATATTTTTAATCATAAAATCATAAAATAAATAACTCAATTATTCGATTAATTGGAAATTATTATTACTCAAAAGTTCGGTTACTCGAGTAATAAAGATTTTGATTAACCAAAAAGTGAAATAGTTGAGTAATTTGATTTATGATTAATTAACATTATGGGTAAACTGAGTCATTAACTCTTTTGAAGAGCAAAATTCATTTTTTGGGGTAATCGTATTTTAAGTAACTCGATTAATCATCGTTTTGAGTTATCAAGATCTTGATTACCCGAGTAGTCGGCTAACCGAACAACTTGCTCGAGTAATCGTACAGCCCTGTATCCAACCCTTTAAACACCAGCATTGCACTTTTGGGCCTTTCGACTTTTTTCGTCGCAGAAATTATATTTTTTGAACTAATAAAGATATTTTAAGAATTTAAATTGCATCCGAAAGTGAAATATCTACACTGGGGAAAAAATTTTAGAATTAAAAAAACGTGCTAAATTTCAAAAGATACGCATATGAAAAAGCACCAACACAACTCGTTTTAAATTTGAGTATGTACGTTATAAAGTATGTCGTTGTGAAGTGCCCAGATGCTTTTTCGTTATACGAAATTATAGTTAAGAAAAAACAAATTTTATTTTATGATATGTCTGATGGTAATTGAACCCGAGCCCTCTTGGCAGGAACCAATTGTATCAAGCGTCTTTGCGCACTCAGCTACACCCATACATGTAAGTGTGTTTTCAAATGTTGAGTTTGAATCTACATCACAGCGCGCGATTAGTGCATTATGTCATACCATGTATGTGTGTATGTGCATATACTTTCTTAATTACATATGATTATAGTTTAAAAAACTAGAACCTCCCTATTATAATATTACATAGTTACATCCCGAGCTAATAAAAGGAAGGTAATAAAAAGCATCCGAAGCGTGCAAAACGCCAGCCGTGCAGTGAAAAATGCTTAATTTTAATATGAGCGTATTTGAATTGAATATTTCCATTATACGTAGTGTATGTACAATGGAAAAATCCATTTTGTTAACATTTTTCACGTGATTAAAATACGAGCATTTTCAAACGGTAATTAAATAAAAATTTTTTATTATTACAACGCGTTTTTTTCTCAGTGTAAGCTTTTTCAGTAAAGGAGCTAAATTCTATAAATTGGTTAATGGAGTTATATTTAAACATAAAATAAGATGAGTAAAAAATGGTAATGCTTTATTTAAGAAACCGCTTTATTAATTTCATTTGAAATGCATTTTAAAGCAAAATATAAGCTTAACAAGTAAGGTTTAAGCAAAACAAAAAACCGGCTTCAATTCTCATACAAAAATTTAAGAGTACCGTTAATTTGATCAATGATAGGATCAACACCAAATGACTGCAGGACCACCTCTAGGTACCGCCTTTCCTTAAAAAAAAAAAAAAACAGAGTTATGCGGAAACATACATAAAAAAATATTCCGACGAATTGATAACCTCCTCCTTTTTTGAAGTCGGTTAATATGTAAAAGTGCAGGGTCCCACAATAACAGCGGATTTGATCTTAATGCAAAAACTTTGCACTAAAATGAGATTACTTTTTTACTTAAATTAAAAAATAAATTTACATTTTTCTTTTTAATAAAATAATAGGGCAATTTATCGAAAGGCATAAATGCTTTGTTACCATTTAAACCCCGTAAACTTACTTAATTTCGTAAAGAAAACTGGTTTATTTACGAAGTTTACGCGGCTACGAGCCATTTACGAGTTTAGATGAGTACCCATAATATAATTACTACATCATTATTGTTGAAAGTCTTAAGCACTGCTTCCTACATGACTTTATTTGTTTCCATCCCGAAAAAATTTACATAATCTATGTTGTGACATGGGCCTCATGTATAAAAAGTGAGCCTCAGCTGAGACTAAGTTTTTGCACTGTTTAAGTAAGCTTAAGCTCAAGAATTTGTTCTGAAAATCCTCGGAGCCTAAGTTCACTTTTTATGACTGAGGGCCAAGGACTCGCGCCAGACTGTTGCTCTTTTCCGTTGCAAACTACAATTTTACTCTCTCAAGTGAGAGTAGAAGGAGAGCAGATGCAAAAGTGTACGGGAACGCAAGTCATTGGTACAACACTGATTTGGCTGAAATATCACTAATTGATTATTAAAATCTATACATATTCAAATCTTTCGTTGTTTACTTCCATTTTGCAACAAACATTAGGTTCTTTGCTTTCACCGCGTTCTGTTTTTGTTTACAAATACTACCCTGGGAATGTTTGACACTTTTCATGAACATACAGGAAAAAAACTCCGGACTAAATCTTGTAACTTCTGACTAGGAACAATTGCTCAATTACTCTCCCACTTACAGGTTTTATGTCTATAGAAACGACTTCCTGTAAGTTCTGAATAAATCCTATAAACCGGACTGCTGTTGGAACAGATTATATATCATAATAATAATAGAATGGCGTTTACACATATGTTAGTCTTTAGACGAGCTTCTCCTTCGATTTGTGGGTACTATGGCAAGTGATATAACTCCAATTTTAAAATTTGGAAATATGTTACTCCTTATACAGTAATGGAAAGCCGATTTTTTTACTTGTGTTTATGTCACTTCTTATAAGGTGTCATAACCCCTGTTTATTAAAAAACGTAAGCTCAGCTTAATCGCACATCCAATTTATTAAATGTCCAAGTTTAGAAGGAATTCAGAAAATGAAAGACCAATTCACCCAGAATATAAAGAATAGATAAAACGAAATATTAAATTACAGGGTGATTCAAATGGCGCAGAATCTTAGACATCCTCTCCGGTTGAAACGTTAGTTCTCCATAAAATTTCACAGCTTTTGCACGGCCCTGGTGCAAGACCCTTGAGCGGTTGCAAGTGCTACATATCGTACGGCTCCGTCGGTGCCCTGGTGGAGCTTAGTAACGCGTCCCAGCCTCCAATGCGTAGGTAGTAATTTTCTTGGCGTACTACCACGATGTCACCCACCTTTATGTTGGGAACACGTCGTTGCTTCTAGTCTATAAGGTTGCCAAATACTCCTCATGCAACTGCCGTAACCATTGCCAATGTTTCACTCGATTGGCGGGCATCTCCGAAACGTCTGGCTCTGGGATGGCCATTATCGGAAACCCTATTAAAAAGTCTGCGGGAGTTATGGCATACCTGTATTCAGGGTCATCGTACAACGATAAGAGTGGCCGAGAGTTCTAACAGGCTTCGATGTGAGTCGCCAATGTTAATGATGGGAGTACCACAAGGCTTGCGTGCCGACTACGCGAACTAAGTTCCGCTGACTTGATATTTCGATCATCGCCGACAGCCAAATCTTCCTTCAGAACTTGCTTAGCTCGTACGACCGCTGTAGAAATTCCTGCAGGGCCCTCGCCGGCTAATAAACCGAGTAAACACGTCTAAAAAAGCCTGTATGGAGAGATCATCAGCCACCTCAATGTGTACAGCTTTCGCCGAAATACAAATAAAAATAGCTAAGTATGTTTTTACCGTAGTCCGCGATCTTTTGGATCCAATACGCAAGTTGAACGGACCACAGTAATCAACTCCGGATGCGATAAAGGCCCCGGCCGCATTGACACGATGTCGAGGTAGCGAAGCCATTTGTTGCATTAAGACAGCACCACGTCGGGTGCGACGACAAACGACAGATTTGAGAATCAGGCTACGCACCGCTACTCTCCCGTGTATAATCCAAAAGGCACATCGAAGAGTTTGAAGAGTCAGCTGGGTTCCGCCATGAAGAGTGTCTATATGTGCCTGTCTAATGAGCAGCCGGACTAGACCCGTCGACTTCGGAAGAATGATTGGGTGCCTATGGGCTTTTATCAACGTAGATTTAGTAATGCGACCTCCTACCCGTAATAAGCCATGATCATCCAGATACGGGGTTTACGGGATTAGACAACTCGAAGTTGGTAACGCAAACCCACCCTGCAGACACCTAATGTCTTTCAGAAAAGCATTCTCTTGATCGATCCTCACAAGCCACTCTAACGCCTCATCGATCTCCTGTGCATCAATTGTGGGGTCCCGAAAGCCATGGCTTCTCGGAAGCCACCTCAGTATTAAAGCCATGGTATGCAGAAGCTTCTTCAGAGAGATAAATCGATCTGTAAGCGGAATAATTTCGCCATCTGAACGTCGCGTTGTCAGGGTTGTATGAGTGGCTATGACGGTTAACCACTGTACCCTCCTTTCACTATTTATTATGTTCCCGAGTAAAAATACGTGAAGTTCAAAATCGTGGCAAGTGCCGATTTCAAAAACGGTAACTTTTTCGATTTTAAGGTAGGTTTTCGATAAGGTTCTAGATGTATGATTATATATATTTACGTATATACAAGTCGATTGTATACATATTTATTTTTCCTTAAATTTAGTTGGAAGATAAAAATTAGAACATTTTGTTAAATTTGATTATTCAATTTTCACTTAGCTTTTATAATATCCAATAAATGCGATATCGCATGTCTAGATACACAGGCAAGTGTGATAAGTGAGTAGTGGCAAAGAACCGCTCGCATTGATCATCCAAGCACTTGCATGTAACGGGTACTTCTTCAGGCTTCCAAAAGTTGCAGATAAGATTATCTAAATAAGGATCGACTCTAATCTGCGTGCAATAAATTCCAACTGTTGCATTCGAAGTGCTCTGAACTGTTGCTGGCCCGAATACAACCCAACCAAGTCGGGTAAGTTGGGCATGAAGTTCATCAAACCCACCATGTATGACATCTTTCTCAACGATAAGAAGTAAATCAACAGTACCCGGGGTACCGAAA